TCTTAAGATTGTGTTAATACGATCACTGATAATGTCGATCGCATAGATATCACGTTTTTTTTTTCAACTCGTATAAATATATTGTATATTTTTTATCGCGATAATCACAATAAGAATATTGAAATTTTAAATGCAATTTTGACTGCAATTGTAACTCAAGTCTCTAATCAAATCATATTTGTAACCGAACATACTTGGACACTTTGGACACCGAAACTCTTTCCTCCTAACACCACTGGCACATTTCCTGTTGACCTTTGACTCCTCCTGGACGTGGTGTATTTCTGAAAAACAAGAAAAAAAGCGAATCATTGTGATTGGTATTGAGAAAGATAAAAAAAAAAAAAAAAAAAAAAAAAAAAGAAATTTACGATTAATAATTTTGGGACGATTAAACGATTCCGAACTGTCTTTACTTCTTTTTTCTTTGTTCTTTTCTTTTTGTTTTTTCTTTTTTCTTTTTTTGTTATTTTGGTTATACTCAAAGATCAAGACACAGAAAGAATTTCTTTGATTGGTCTTTTTACAAAAGTGGACAAATTTTTAATTCCATTGCATTGGCATAGATTTCAACAATTAAATATATAATAAACGGGTTCTTCGATAAATGCCTATGATCGGATAAAAAAAGAAATAAAGAAATAAAAAAATACAGATACTTAACTCAATTGATAATTAATCGTTTAGCTATAGAAAATATATTCAATTATCCGGAAAGTTCATTCTCATATATTACAGATGTGCGTGTAATATGTGTGTATATATGTATATATATAATATATATATATATATACACATATACATATACATATATGTATTAAAGCAACTATGTAAGATTACATCGATTTATATATGATTAAATCTTTATAAATGTTTGCAGTTAACTTAAATAAGCAAATATAAGTAAATGAATAATGTTCGTAGTTTAATATATTGCGTTGAGAAAATTTTGAAGCTCAAAAAAATATATAAAGAAGTATTATTATTATAATACTAATAATAATAATAATAATAATAATAATAATAATAATAATATGATCAATAATAACAATTATAATAAATAGGTGTAAATTTTGGGTAAGAGAGAGAGAGAGAGGGGGGGGGCCAGGAGGGAGAAAATTTTTCACAAATAAAAAAAAATGTATCCTAAAGGGTTTGCACGCAGGGTTACTGATTACAATCGCATTCGTAAATCAATTGTATATTCGAATTATACTTGTAACTCAAGAATACTTGAACATTTTGAACATCGAAAATCTTTTTTTTTTTTCTTCTTTTATCACTTCCACAATTTCCTATTGACCTTTGACTCCTAGAAACACAAGAAAACAAATAATTCATTGAGATTGATATTGAGAGGAGGAAAACGTAAAGGAGAGAAAAAAAAAAAGAAGGAAATTTACGATAATTGATTAGGATGATTAATTGATTGCGAAGCGATTGTGTTTTCTCTCGCTATTGTCAAGAGTCAATCGATCAAAAAGAAAAAAAAAAAAAAAAAAATAAATAAAAGGAAAAAAAAAAGACAAAAACCTCCATAAAAAAGAACAAAATCTCTTTGGGTTGATATTCGCAGGTACGTTTTTTATTTCTGTGTATCATTGACAACAATTGCAACGACTAACACGTGTAACATGGATAATCTTAAATTCCATTAGAAAAATCAGAAAATCCGTCACAACGATCAATTCCCATTGGTATTTGAATCGTTCGCTTATAAAAAAATATTATATGTTATCAGAAAAATTCATTTCCTTATAACACATATATTAAAACATACAAATGTAAGAATACATTATCGATTTATAAATTTTATATGTTACATGTCTTAATTAAATTGACATTATGTAATAAACGAATAACTCAATATTTAATAGTTTAACATTACTACATTGTTTCGAATAAAAGATAAAAAAAGAAAAGAAAAGAGATTTAAAAAAAAAAAAAAAAAAAAGAAAAGAAAAAAAACGTGAAGGACAAATTAAAGTGAGAAGAAAATTTTCACGATTTAAAGAGAAAAATTACAAAAAATAAAAAAAAAATAATAATAATAAAAAAGATAAAAAAATAAAAAAATAAAAAGAAAATGGAAGAAAGAATTAATTTCTTAAGAAAAAAAAGGAAGAAAGAAAGAAATAAGAACGTATCGGTCAAGGTTGATATACACGATAATTGATAAGGTCAACCGCATAGACCTCAGGTATCTTGTGCTTGTTTCTAATATGACTATAAACATTATGTCGTTGTTTAGTACGATAACAGCAATGAGGACATTGAAATCTTGGTGCCTGGCCGCATTCGTAACTCAAGTGTCTATTTAAATCATGCTTGTAACCAAAACTACTTGGACACTTTGGGCACAGAAACTTTTTCCTGTAACAACTCGCGCGTATCCTTTTGTTCCATGATCCTTTGACATCCTGTAACTCTGAAAACAAGAAGAGAGTAACTCGTTGAGATCGATTTTTTAAGAAGAAAAAAAAAAATAAAACAAAGACAAGAAGAAAATTTAGGATAAATGTTTAGAACGATTAGAATGATTCCAAACTGTTATTTTCTTTTCTCTTTTTTCTTTTCTTTTGAACAATTTTCAAGGATCAAGTTTATTTAATTTTAAAACAATTATTTTTATTTCATTGAGATAGATTTCCTATAACAAAAGATATTTTCTTTCATAATATCCTTAAAAAATCTGCAATAAAATATGATCGGATAATATAATAAAACGTGAATACGAATAATTAATAATCTATTGATACTTACTTCACTATTTAAGTTACATAAAATGTATATTATGCTATATATATATATATATATATATATATATATATATATATATATATATATATATATATATATATATATATACCCGTTAATTCAATAACTTATTAAGTATATATTAAATACATACATGTCAGATAACATTTTATTTATAAATAATTGCCATCGTAAATACAATTACATATTGCATGACTTAAATAAAAGCAATTATGTAATTATTCCTGATTTTTAACGCGTTACGTTGAAAAATTGGAAAAAAAAAACGAAAAAGAAAGTATACAAATAATCATAATAATTATAATTATAATAATTAATAATATCTAATGTTTATATATATATATATATATATATATATATATATAAACAGGTATAAAATTGTAACAAATAAAAAAGGAAAAATAAAATTGTATCCTTAAGGTCTGTACACACGACTACTGATAATGTCCAACGTATAGACCTCAGTCTTTTTGTGTACATTTCGAATATGTTTATAAACATTTTGTCGTTGTTTAGTTAAATAATCGCAATAAGGACATTGAAATCTTGGTGCCTTGCCGCATTCGTACATCAAATGTCTAGTAAGTGCTTGTTTATGACAGAATGGCCTTGAACACTGTGAACATAGAAACTGTTCACTCTTACCATTATTAGAACATTTCTTCTTGAACTTTGACTCTTTGGCATTGTGTACTTCTGAAAATAATAAGAGAAGTAGAACATTGAGATTGGCATTGATTAAGACAAAATAATATTTACGAAGAGAACTTTGTTTATGAAAATTTGAACAATTCTTTAAACAGTTCCTTCTCTTTTTCCTTTTTTCGCGACTCACTAAAGGGTCGAGCGAAAGGGAAAGAAAAGAAAAGAAAAGAAAAAAAAAAAAAGATCCTTCATTTCTATTTCCTCGACGAAGATTTCAACGATTAACGTGTAAAGAATTGTCCTTGATCGAAATAAAAAGCGCAAAAAAAAAAGAAAAAAAAAAAAAGAAAAAGAATATATATATATATCTCACTAATAACGTATGATCGATAATTAATCGTTTATCCAAAGAAAAAAATATCTTATCCGAAGAAAGTCTAAATCACGTTTATTTATAAATTATTAAACACTTGAACATTTGAAAAATGTCGAAGGGAACAAAGTCTGAAAAAAAGAAAAAGGAAAAAAGGAAAAAAGAAATAATAAAATATAAAATAAGATAAAATAAATAGAAAAAACAAAAACAAACAAACAAACAAAAAAATAAGCAATAATCGGATTTTAATAAGTTTGAACCAAAGAAGACAAAAAAGAAAAAAAGGAACAGAATGGAGAAGAGAAGAGAAAAACGAGACAAAAGAGACAAAAAGAAAAAAGAAAAGAAAAAAGAAAGAAGAAAAACGAAAAAGGAAAAGAAACCAACTTTCACAAATTGGAAGAAAAAAATGTGTCCTCAAGATTTATGTACATACGATTATCGATAATGTCTATAGTATAGACATCACATTTCCTGTGTACGTTTCTTACGTGGCTATAGGCGTTTTGTCGTTGCTTAGCGCGATAACTGCAATAAGGACACTGAAATCTTGGTTGCTGACCGCATTCATACTTCATGTGTCTATCCAAATCATACTTCTTAACGAACGTACTTAGACATTTCGAACACGGATACTTTTTCCTTCTAACATTCATGAAATAGCTTAGTGTCTTTGGTTCCCTGGTATGTTGCACTTCTGAAAAAAGAAAAAAAAAAGCAACTCATTGAGATTGATATTTGAAATCAAATATCAAAAGGAACTTTAAGATAACCATTTTATGATTCTCATTTAACCTTTCACTATATTTAAACATATCGCGGTTCTAAAGGATTAACCCAAAAAAAAAAAAAAAAAAGAAAAAAAAAAGAAAAGAAAAGAAAAGAAAAAGAAAAAAACATGAAAAGAAAGGAAAAAGATTTTCTTTTTCTTCTTCTTTTATTCTTTCTGTTTTTTTTTTCTTTCTTTTCTTTTTTCTTTTTTTTGGTTGATCCACTTTTCTTTCCGCTGAGATTTTCAACGATTATCGTCCAAATAGGAACGTCTTCGATCAAAATCACATAATCTCATAATTTACATAGCTGAAAAATAAACACAGAATGTTTAATTCTTGGTATAACATTTTCTTAAGTATAAATATACATATACATATACATATGTATTATATTATCAAAAAATTATTATATTAATAAAACATATGTACATATTTATACATAGAACAGGTACATTTATTCGTTGCTGTTTCTATCATTACAGATATTTATTTTTTTTATTCACAACAGAGTTCTATCATTTATTAGGAAACAATGAGACAGCAATCTCGAGGAATTCTTTTTTTCTTTTTTTTTCTTTTTTTTTTTTTTTTGTACTACAAATAAATCCAATTATATATAATAATCTTGAGATATTTTTGGTAATCCAATTATTAATGCATTCTTATTTACATTGGAATATAAATTAATTGAATGATTTTTTATAAAGAATTTTTTAAGACAACAGGATAATTTAGAAAGAAAAAGAGAAAAAGAAATTAAAATTGGGTGTAGTCTAATGGTCTCAGGAACTGATAAGAAAAAATAAATAAATAAATAAATAAATAAATAAATAAATAAATAAATAAATAAATAAATAAATAAATAAATTGTACGTTGATAATGAATCGACATTAAGATTTACATAAATTAAGATATGCGCTCGAACAGTTTGGACATTGACAATTTCTTTGCCTGTAATTCCAAGGTGCCGTTCTCATCAGTTCATGGAACATTTCTGGAAATAAAAAGAGAGCAGGTCATTGAGATTGATACAAGGGTGAAAAAAAAAAAAGAAAAAGAAAAAATAAATAATACAAAAAACAGAACCGGATAAAAAATAGATTATAGCTATTACGAAGAGCAATCGATCGAAAAATTAAAGATTTTCTTTCTTATTCTTCCTGCATAATACAGAAAGATTCTTATTTTATTTTTTTTTTTTTCTTTTTTTTCTTCTTTTCTTTTCGCAAAGCTATATTAATGATTTTTACATGAAACAACGTGTACTCCAATAAAATCGATAAAATTTGACGAGTCACATCTGATTGGATATAAAAAAAAAAAAAAAAAAAAAAACACACACAAACATATATATGTGTACATATGTATATATAGATCTAATTACGATTATAATATATATAATTAAAATTATAAATATATTGAATAATTAAAAACAACAATGCTCACCGTAATATCTGAGGTAATACTTCTATAACCGGGATATACTGCTAGACACCACACCATGAAGTCTAGATAATAAAAAGAAAACAATAAATATGAGAGTAAACAAATTCGATGAAAATAAATGTAAAATTTATTCGCAGTAAAACATATCATAATTATTAGAAATAAGAAAAAAAAAAAAAAAATAAACAAAAAAAAAAAATAAAAAAAAGAAGTAGAAAAGTAAAAAAGAAGAAACCCACGATGATGAAGATAATGACGATGACGATGACGATGACGCTGACGATGACGATAATTATGACGATGAAGATGACGACAACGACGACAATGACAACTACAATAACAATAACAATAACAACAACAGCAACAATAATAATAATATTAATAACAAATTTGAAATATAAAAGGAATGAATATCTTCCACGATTTAGATTTTAAAAATGTGTTCCTTTAAATTTATACCCAAGACTGATCACACAAATCAAAGATTTTCGAGTAAATCTTTCGTGTCGAACGAAGATCATTCCTTAGAACGATAAAAACAATGTGAATAGTGTAATCTAGTTGATTGATTAGATTTCTAATTTTTATGTATAATCAAAGAACTCTTGTTGACATAAACAGTCTGCACATTGAAAATTTCTTCCTTTAACAATCGCGATATTGCTACGTTATCTTTGAGAGCTCTTGCTACGATGTATTTTCTCTATAAATAATAAGAAAACAAATCGAAAAAAAAAAATCGAAATTAATCTTCGGAAGAGGGTTGAGAGTGGGGGTAGGAAGGGATTATCGGAAAGGGAAAGAAATAAAATAGAACTTTGTGATAACTGATGATGACTTATGATATGATGGAATTATTCTTAAATAATTTTAATGAATTATCAGGGATCTGTGGATCGATCGACACAGGGGAGAAAAAAAAAATAAAAAGAAAAGAAAAGAAAAAAAAAATAATACCCTGGTTGATCGTTCTCCTCCTGTAAAGTGGAAAGATTTTTGTTAGTTTGAATTTTTTAATGAAATTTAACGCAGAATGAAACGTATTCCTATTGATGATAAAAGCTTGATCGAGATAAATTAGAAAAAGATATATGTATGTGTGTGTGTGTGTGTGTATGTATGTGGTTATTTATGTAAGTAACAAAGCATATATACAAATTTACATTTATTTATAATCGTTTGATTCAATTATATAAATAATTATTTTTCCTTTCACGTTATATAATTATTTCTATTAACGATTAGGGAACAAAGAAGGGAGGGGAGGAGATCTCTCTTGGAGGAATCCTTGTATATTTTTATTTTATTTTTCTTCCCTTTTTTTGTTTGTATTTTATTTATTTATTTATTTATTTATTTATTTATTTATTTATTTATCTATTTATTTTTTTGATACGACAAAAAATTTCTTTTTATTATCGTCACAATATATAATAAGTACAGTCTTGAAACATTTCTATTTGGTAATGCAATTAATATTAATTTTTTTATCCTTAATATTGTTATAAATAAATTAAACGATTTTCTTGGAACTCTGACTGAAAAGAAAAAAGAATAAACATAATAGAGTCTTTGTATTTCGTTATGATATTCGCTACATTTCTAAACGTAGATATTCGAACAATTTTGATATGAGAGATTTATCCCATGTACGTTTATTTTTTAATGAACTCGTACACAGAAACATGTTCAAGAGAAATGATATTGCTATTGTAATTGTCTCTTTAATATATTCTCTCTGTTATATCTTTGTTCCTTTTTCTTTCATTTCTTATTAACAATATTCAATTAAAATTATTAGTGTTATAAATATATATATATATATATATGTATAAAAAATGACAAACAAAAAATTATGATTATCGAGTTAATCGAATGAATCCCCGATGAATTGATAAGTATAAAGAAAAAAACACAAGAAGAAACAAAACAAAATAATTAAGAAAATAATGATATAATATGATCGGCCATATAAATTAGCGAAAGAAGAAAAGAAAAAAAGAAAAAAAGGAATTAAAAAGAGAAGAAATAAAAATAAAAAAAAAAAAAAGAAAGAAAGAAAGAAAGAAAGAAAAAAGAAAAAGAAAAGAAAATAGGAAAGAATAATGAAAATTTTCGTAAGAAGGTTAATTTCGATAATCAAATCAAGATATCCCAGTTGACAATTCCGAATGTTGCATAGTTTTCTTTCTCTCTCGCTCTCTCTCTCACTTTTTTGCTTCATTTTTTTCCTTTTCCGTCTCTTTTCTTTTTTTTTTTGTTTGCTATTTACATCGCTATAACAGGCTTTTTTTCTTTTCTTTATTTTTCTCTTTTTTTCTTTTTAATTTTTCTAATAAAAAAAAAAAAAAAAAAAAAATAAAAAAACATATACATATATATTATATGATAACCATTTGGACGCTGGTTCACGTATTATTCTGGCGACCTGGCAGATCCTAAAAAAGAAAAAAAAAAGTGTTTAAATACTTTCGATAATAATGATTTGTTGTTGGATCATGTCAATAAAAATATTTGAGAATATTACGTAAATTTGATATAGGAACGTCATTTGAAGTGTGTATATTTTCTTATAAAAAAAAAAAAAAAAAAGAAAAAAAAAAAAAGTAACAGTAAAAGTAAGAGAAAAAGAGGGAGAAAAAAAAAGAGAAAAAGAAGATTGTCTTTCATTCATTATTGAAAGAAATAAAGAGAAGAAAAAGAAGAAGAAACACGACAGAAGAAAAGGAGCAAAAAGTAAAAGAAGAAAAATAAACAAATAGGGAGATATATACACACACACGCGCACACACGCACACACACACATATATATATATATATATGTAATACCGAATCGGAAAATTCTCAGTTCACAGTTCGATGCAATGTGTGTCAGCACACTTGTGTACTTCCCTTAGATGCCTGTAAACGTGACTTTTTCTTTTCGATCGATAATCGCACCGAGGACACTTGAATCTACGTTCTTGGCAACGATGATAATGTATGTGTCTCATCAAGTTGTTATAGCGAACAAAAATCCTACCACAGTTGTTCGGACACTTCTTCGCTTGTTTCATGTAGAAATCTGAAAAAATAAAGAAGAACAAATTTTGTTTTCAACCACGAAATTATTAATTTTCATATCCAAAGAAATTTTTTTCTTTTCCTTTTTTTTTTCCTTTATTTATTTATTTTTTTTTTTTTTGTTTTTTCTTTTATTTTTCTTTTTTTTTTTTTTCTCTTTTTTTTTTTTTCTTTTCTCCTTTAACAGAATAACTATTATCACGATCGACGAAAATTGAAAACACGATTTAAAAATAAAATTATTATATTTCGAACCAAAGAAAAGAAAGAAGACAAAACAAAACAACGATTGATATTGAAAATCCTGAAAGAATCGAACAACACGATTAAAATCTATACATGGAAAGGACATATAATATGTGTATATATATAACGTTTACATACATAATATGTATATATATTATATATATACTGCGATTATTTAAAACATTTGTGACAATTTATTGAAACAATATTAAGTTTAATAAGAACAAATAATATAATGTAAATAAAATATTACTATTGATAAACAATTACATACATAGTTTTCCCTGATAAGATAAATGTATATATATATATATACAGGATATCGCTCGAATAAATTCAAAATATTTTATAGGTGGTGGTATCAAAATTTAACCGGAACTTTTTTATTATTGAATTTAGCTTGAGTCATCATTAAAATATTTCACGCTTACTCTGACATACCCTGTATACATATCTATATATACATATATAAATAATTAACATATATATATATATATATATATATACATTAATTTTTTATATTTGTTTCCCTTCTTCTAGAATATTAAAATATTGTTAAATTGTATTCTTAAATTGTTTAATTTTATGTTAACGTCAAGCAATGTAGAGAGAAACTTATTGCACAAAAAAGAAAAGTAATTATCTTCTATTGTGGTTTTTTTCGATAGATATATTAAATACATTTTATTATTCACACTACATTATTGACCAGGTACGTCGTGGAATTTTTAAAAAATATAAAAGAACAAGAAAAAAAAAAGAAGAAAAAAAAAATATATATATATGTTTTTTTATATCAATATATATGTGTATAATATTATATAAATCGACATATATATATATGTAATTTGTATCGTCTCATATTTTTCTTTTTTTTTTTTCTTTTGTTACCTTTGACCCCATCTTTCTCGAGAATATATATACATATACATTTATATAGCACGTATTTATTAAATTATACGTAATTATATCATAAATATTTTGTTTATAATTAATTATATATTCTCAAAGAATTTATTAATTAATTCCTATATTCTTAAATAATTCCTACGCCTAAAATCATTTCTATCTTTCAAATTTTAAAAAGTAATTGCCGAAGAAAGAAATAAAAGAAAGAAAAGAAAGAAAGAAAGAAAGAAAAGAAACGAATAAAATTATCAAACAAGATATATAATAGATTTTTTTTAAATGAACTAAAAAGCCTGATTAATAGTTTTTTCAGTCGAAATAGAAAAAGAAAAAATTATAATATTAATAACAATAATGATGACAATGACGATGATAATGATGACGTTGATGATCGATCATAATGAATTTATATTTCCAATTTATTCATTGAAATGAACGGATAGTGTTTATTATGTATTTATTAGTCATCTTATCGGACTCTCATGCACCCACACACACACACACGCACACACAGAGACAGACACACATTCTCTCATTAAAACTAATCAATAATTCTTCATTTGCTTGCATTTTCATTGGTCGAAAAAATGTCGATAACGTAGACCGTTTTTTTATGATGTTTCCTACGTATATGAGCTTTTAAATTCGATGCGTGTTTCGTAATATGAGGACAATAAGGACACTTGAATCTTGGTGGCTGGCCACATTGAAACTTAAGATGATTATAAAGATTGTTACGCCTTGTAAAATTATTGCCGCATTTATAACAACAAACGCTCTTCTTTCGTTGAAGTCTTTGGTAAAGTTCATGGTTCGGATTATAGCAAACCGAGATGGGATAATCTTGCCTTAAGTCGATCCCACTATCTGAAAAAAAAAGAATCAACGAGACCGTATTAGAAGAAAAACAAACAATTCTTTTCAACTCTTGACGAGTCGTATAGATTAATTAATAAATCTCTCTCTCCCTCTCTCCCTCTCTCACTCTCCCTCTCTCTCCCTCTCTCACTCTCTTTATTTTTTTGTTTTATTTTCTTTCTTTCTATCTTTACTTTCTCGTGTCGTCCTTAGATCAACGATCGAAAAAGAAATCCTGAAAAAATAAATCATGGATTTATCGTATAAAATTAATACGTTCACTTGAGATTGATGTTTTGTTTTCTTTTTTCTTTTTTTTTTTTTCCAAATCTTTTTCTTTTTTACATCTAAAAAATATTATTCGAAGAAATTGTCGTACAAGCACCTTTTTTTATGGACAAACATGGATAGAGAATGATAAAAGAATAGTCGTGAAAACGTTAACTTATCGTTGTTAAGATTGAAGGACGATCATTATTGTTTCATTTTAGAGAAAGAGAGAGCGAGAGAGAGAGAGAGAGAGAGAGAGAGAGAGAGAGAGAGAAAGAGAGAGAGAGAGAGAGAGAGAGAGAGAGAGAGAGAGAGAGAGAGAGAGAGAACAGATTACTGCCAACACCATTGAATAAATTTTGATCACTCATAGTAGCTTCATCATTGATGA